CTGTCATTATACCTTTGTAGTCACATGATGCTACAATCTTCACACTAATGGCACACATTTGATTAAAATATGGTATCTATCTTGCTAACAAGAATCTATTTTTGGAGAGCATTTGTGTTTTAAAGAACTTCTACAGTAATTAATATAGACTCTAGAAGATTGAATAAAATTTAGTGTTTCTTAATAAATGAAACTAGGATGCTCTGCGAGGCAACATTGTTTATTTACTGGTTTTGCATTGTATTGTTCCTAGCCATGCTGTTCTCATATGTGTCATTTAAAAATTATTATTTGTTTTAACATAAGTACTCAAATCTGTGCTTTCTCCCTTTGAATTATATTTTAAATCAATGAATGCATTTAGAATACAAACATGTGATATCCACAGCTTCTCTACATGCTTCTTTTGAATTGAACTTATGAATTACACATATGTGGGTCCTCTGTTTTTTATCATCCTAACTGTAATTATAGCCATAGTTGATAATCAATACAGTTTCAATTAGATAAAATTAGTCACTATTTTGGGTACTGTGATGCAGTGATGAGAAGAAAGAGAACTGATTCATTCAGCATTAACTACCAAATTATAAAAGCTTCCAAGTGCCATGTTAAAATTCAAGTCAATCTTAATGTTATTGAACTAGTAAAACATTTCAGTGCTCTATTTATCTAGTTCCTGAATTTAATGTTACCAGGGCAGGACTCACACCTCATATAATTTCTTTATATCAAATAAACAACAGAATTTTTGTACAAAAAAATTGTCTTAAACTCCAAATATGAAGTTTGGAGATTCAAAAATGATAGACTGTTTCTTTGGTTAGGTCCCCATATTCGTAGGAAAAATTATGGCTTTCCAAGACTTTAACAAATATTAATGAGTAGTAAAGATTTGAAAATTACATTGTTGAACACAAGATAGAAATCCAGGGTAAGGGAAAAGAGAAATAGAGAAATGGGTTAACCAAAACTAAGCATGCACAAGGAAGCCTTATGAACTCCTCCTGCATAAGTTACACAAACACACACACACAAACACACACACACAGACACACACACACACTATGCATAAACATTTATTTAATCTGCATGGGTGAAGGAAAACACTGTTAGCAGAAGACAGAGATTGTTAAATGAAAATCTCAACACCAGACATGCACAGATTGAATTACTGGTCAGATATACCCCAGAGACACTCAAAACAATGCAGGTTGTTATCATAGTTCTTTGTTACCCACTATAACTAGGGGTAAGACCCTTTCCTGAAGACACCATGCATCTAGGTCTCAGAACAAAGAAAAATTAATCTGGAATTATCCAGGAAACTCTTTCACTACTAGGTTTCACAGCACTGGAACATGCTATGCAGACTTTTGCTGGAGATAAAAGGCATCAGTGGTATTACCCAGCTCTGAACTTTGCATGCTACAATACAATTTTCTAGGCGAAATATGCCCAGGAATGCAAAATGGTAAGAATTTCTACAGGTGTAACCAACTGCTCTCCTGACTGAATTGAAGGACTGTTCCAGAGGGAGGAATTCAGCCAGGTAATCATGGCTAGGAAAATTGTCAGTTCTAAGCGTGAACCTATTGGTGTTGATTTTCTGGTAATTTTTGTTGTCAAAGTGTTTCCTACTAAATATTTGTGTTTACATTTATAGATTTGTGCTGCTCTCAACCTTGGTCAGGGAAGTTTCCCACTGAGGTGGATAACAGTTAACACAAAGATGTAACTGTCCATAGTGCAGGGTGCTGGGAATAAATGACTGAAGGTGCTAAGCTGTAGATGAAATCTGTTCTTCAGTACTGACACAGCTACCCAAGGCTTAGGGCACATTGTAGAGGGGGGAAAGAAAAGAATTTAATAACCAGAGGATGGGGAGGAGTGCTATGACATCCTGACCTCTGGATGTGACCTCTTGATGCCCATGTAACCTCAGAGCAGCTGTAGTTACCTGCACAGACCTTCATGCGTTCAAGTCAGTCAAAAGTCCCAGCATGGATGGAGGAGAGGCTCTTAAGTTTTCAATTCTATTAGAAAACCCATTTTAGCAGGTGATAGCTATTAAGGGAGGGAAAGTCACTCTTTTTGGTGCTGGGAGGATTAGTATACACCCCATGCCCATCACTACATGTCTATTCATATATGAGAAGTGCTGACTGCATTTAGTGGATTATATAAAACAGATATGAAATTGGGAAGGAGTTGTATTGGGGAATTGTCCTCAGGGGAGTTGGAGGGAGGTATTGACAGATGGCTATGACAAAAATGAACTGTGAACATATATGAACTTTTCATAGAATAAAACATTAAGAGAAAAAATGGCCATTGGCATATGTAAACTACCTAACAAAATCAGGATGATTTGTTTTTGTTTAAAATACAGAGATTAGTTCAATTGATGAAAAACTATACAGTATGTAACATGAGTTCTACTCAGGTTTACAAGGTCCAAAAGTGATACTAATACTATTCTATAAACACTGGCCTTTTAAAAAGAATCTGAATACAGAGCAGCTGGCATATTAGTAGCTGTGATACCTTAACAAGTTGGCTTCTATTATCATAGTGTAAGGAGCATTTATTTATGACATCACAAATCAAATAAGGAGCAACTAGGGTTCATTCAACAATATTGAATCAATATTGCAATTTTGTAGAAAGCAATTTTGATCTGAATAAAAATCGGTCATATAATTGTACTGTGTGGCAGAAAAACGGGGTCCTAGGTTGGGTAGATCCTAGATTATGAGAATCTACCATTCTCAAAGAGTTTATTCTTTTAAAAAAGAGTTTTAATTACAATTTTTCACACATACACTGTATATACCAACAACTCTCAATCCTCTCCCTTACATCTCCCCTGCCAAAATCTGAAATTCAAGTCTATTTATCTTTTTTTTTTGTGACCTATTGAAATTAATCGAGACCATCTGTATGACAAATGGTTTGCAGCTATCCACACCTAAGTGAGCTCAGCAGTAGATACACAATTAAAGACAGAGACCCATTCTTCTAGAATTCAGTGTCCACTGGCTCAGAGCTGTGCTGCTTCCTTTTTCTTTTTTTTTTTTTTTTGATAGAAACTTGAGTCCCCTGGAAAAAGGAAATCTCAGTTGAAGACTTGCCTCCATTAAATTGGCTTGCATACAACTCTATGGGACACTTTCTTAGTGACCAAATGATATGGGAGAATCCAGTTTACTATGTGTGGTAATAGCTGCTAGTATACAGCTCACCTCCATGATTTCTACTTCAGGTTCTTGCATTGGCTTCCTTCAACAACCCATAAGCCAAAGAAACCCTTTCCTTCCCAAGCTTCTTTTGGTCTCATTAACACAAATCTAGCTAATACAAGAGGTAAATGTGGAGAGTCATGAGTATGCCTCCTTCCTTGACTGATTTTTGATAATGCATTCTTGTGTGGGCCCAGTGCAGGTAACTACAGTTTTCATGAGCTGAGGACTGCATTGATTGGAGAAGTCTGAAGAACCATGTTTCTTAGCTCTGTACCCTGTCTTCCAGCTCAGTACTTCATACTACCTCTAGCACAGTGTGTCCTGAGCCTTACAAGAATAGTATCAGTGGCTTGTATACATGTGGCCCCACAGCTGATACTTGAACAGACAAGAAAAAAAAAACATTAGTTTTTTAAAAAACCTATATACAACATAAGGACAATTTATAATAATATATACAAATTAAGGAGTTTATAGTAGACAGTATTTAATTCATATCAGAAGAACTGAAGGGAAATTTCTCAAGGTTTTATAATTAGTGAGACATCCATCAGAGGTTAGATGAACTTAGGTGAAAAGAATGGTGAATAAGGGATAGAGAGAGTAATGTTTTGAAAGTGATCAGTTTTTAATATGTTCACCAGTAGAAGCAGTATAATATGATAGGTGAATAGTTTTCCCACAGAAAATGAAGATTAAAAACTAACATATGCTGATGGCATATTGCATGCCTATTGTTGTCTTTTACCACATCACATATGATATCTCAATCTCTACAAGGTTTTACATGTTCCACTTGGGCTACCCAAAGACACACTTTATAGAGAAAATGAACTATGGGTAAGTAGTAAGTGCCTTAAAATAGAGCTAGTTTCCCTAGGCTTTGGAAACTCAAAGAAGGGAGCAGTTCTATTGGTGTTTAGCCGATGTCCTGGAAAGAAGTGGAGCAGGATGTAGGGATGCGGTCAGATGGAGATACTGCAACAGTAGAGGGATTCACAGTGAAGCTGAATGAGAGATCAGTCTGAAGGATCTCAGCCTGTCAAAAGTGATGGACATTCTCCGGGGAGGACAGTGACCAGAACACAAATAGGGTGAAAGACAAGTGTGCACATGCACACACACAGGAAAGTTACAATTAAACACTTGTATAAAATGTCCTCATGAAATATAGTTCTATATACATTGAAAATATCCCAGTATGGAAAAAATTGGTAATGTGTATTTTGGGAAAAAATAATTCTAGAAAACTATGCTTTATAACTCTTGAACAATTTAACTGTCTGCCAATCCTCAACAAATGACAGTGCAATTTTGCCTTATTATTAAACTACTTTTCTGAAATCATTTCTGAGTCTCTGTTTTTCATTTTTCTTTTGAATTACCCAGTTGCTTTCCCTGATCCCTACATGCAAATTATCTCCATTGTTTTGGCCTCTACATCCCAACTCATTTAAAAATATTTGAAGTAGTTATTTTCTATTCTGCTCTTTCATAATTATAATCATTACCTTATCATCTGATACTTCTTTTCTCTTTTATAAAATTCATAGTGCTTCTCTTACTCAACATTTCTCTTGTTATAATGTTTCTAAATAAACGACTATTTTTCCACAAAACAAATCTCCTCATAATTAGGTGGACCTTGTGCATTTCTACTAGGAAGCACTTACTTATATTGATGTCAGTAAGTCAAATTTAGAAAAATAAAATCAACTCTGGTTATTTATTTTAGAATAATTCTAAGTCAAAGCATGCATGTAAAAGTAAAAATTGTATTTGAAAACTGATTAATTTTAATATTCTTATGGGAAACAACTAAGTTCACCAACAGGAATAAAAAAACCCTAACATTTTACAGAATTTAAGTATCAAAGCACAATATATTTTCATAGAAACAAATACATCACTGCCATAGGATCACACTAAGGAAAAGTTTATACATAAAGCTGTTTGCCATTATGAAAACCAGTGGTAATAATAATGTAATGCACCAATTCATCCTTGTTAGACTTTTGAAAATTACACTTCCTGGCCTGCAGGAGTATTTGCCAGGATATAAACAAAAAAATGAATTCAGTTCTAAAAACGCTAGCAAGCTCTGTCTGTTGTCTCATCCTCTAGTTATGACATGATTCCAACAGTGTTCTCACAAAACTGCTTGGGCTTTCCCCACATGCCAGTGTGGCCCCTGCCAAAGTACCAAATATTTTCACTTGGAAATTAAAAGATTATTTTAATACAAAATAAAAAGTGCAACATCAGGACTTAATATTTGGCACAATGCAACTTAATACAAGAGAAAAACTGCCCAGTCCTTAGAGTAAGGCAGAGATTTAGAATAGGTCAGAACACAGAATTGGACTGGTTTTGGGGGAAAAAAGTGACTTAAAAGTTTTTTTTTGTTGTAGGGCTGATTGTTTTTCAATGCACAGATAATTCTCTAAGGGCCATTCACAGTCACTTTAGATACACTTCATCAGTGGCATATACAAAGCACCATATAATATAAGAAATGTAGAACATCATGACTATATAATTAACTGTAGAAATAACTGCTAAGAAAATATAGCAATATTTAACACAGGATTTCTAAAACCATTAAATGTTCATTACTTTTCCCAAAGCTAAAGTCCCATGTTTTATTTTATACACTTTGTCTATCAAGAGTGGCCCGCATTTGTACTCTGGAGGTGGGCTGGCAATACTTGTTTCTCTTCTGTACAGCAATGTTACAGTCGTATACAGACGTCAGAAATGTGGCATTTGGAGCAGACTTTCTGTTCCCCTTCCAAGTGTTCCCAGTCAAACAACAGCAAATACCCGGAATGCCTTTCCTCCTGTAGGGTTCTGTAAACTGCAAGAGCACGAAAGTGACATTAAGGTCATCTGTATATATAATCCTCCCAGTAAGTCATGCTCTGTGAGGACATTCAAGCAAGTAACTCCACAAAGCCAGACGGCCCAGCTGTCTCAGACTGTCAAAATTTACTCTTCCGCTGAAGCTCTGGTAAGGATAATCCCCACGTAGCACGCGGTTGCCTGCTGGACTGAACATTACTAAAGTAACTTGAAAAGCTCATGAAAGACAGTAGCCACTGTGCAGTTTCACAGCCTCTGGAGCATGATATCATGAATTGCCTCCTTAAGTTCTAATACAGTGGAATGAGGCCGTGGATCTTTCACCCTTGTTGCAAGGATACTGAGACTGCACTTTGCAAATGGTTTATCTCATTTATAGTTATTTACAACTCAGAGCCTGGCCGATACTTAAGCAACATTGTAGAGAGTACTGGCTTATTATCATTTCTTAACTTTAATACAATACAAATACAAACTGTATCACCATCACTCAGTGTAAGTCAGCATTGATAGTTTTGAGAAAAATGACAGTGAAATTTAATGATCAAATTTGGAAAGAACTAAAATATGGAAATTCTGTGTGTGTGTATGTGCCTGTGTGTGTCTATGTGTGCCTGTGTGTGTCTATGTGTGTCTGTGTGTGTCTGTGTCTGTCTCTGTGTCTTTCTCTCTACCCAATGCCATTTGAGGTTATTTTTATTTTAAAGAAAACAGTGAAAGTAATGCAAAACTATGTATTTTTATTCTAAATACATGTCTTATTTTTATTTTATACAAAATTTTGTTTTGTAGCTGATGAACAAAATAAACTTCCTTTCTATACTTATTCTCGTACAATAAGTAGGGAAAGGATTATAAAGAGAGAAAGTAAGGGTACTGACCAAAGTAAGTATGCATGACACAGTGACATGCCGTGCCAGGCATATATGTACATGGAAGACTAACTTTAAAGTCATTTCAAGGTCATGAGCCAAGATGCAGAAAGTCTCCTTCTCAGCCATGGCTTCCTGATATACTCCCATGTTAAAAAAAAAGCCACTCAATGTGTGAATCTTGATTGGGAATGGCAATCTAGACTCTCTATGGGCACCATGGGATAGTCTTTGTGTTTTTAGAAACTACTAGAAGCCCGACTCCTTTCTGCTATAATTTTGAAATATGTTTCAAAAATATCTAAAATTTAGGTATCTCTATAAATAAATGAAATATTGATGATTTTAAAAATTCATTAAAAGTTTATTTTTCTTTTTAAATAGTTTATAAACTGAGTAGATAAAATTTCCCTAGTCATAAAAACATGTCTCATTAATGAGCTGAACAACATAAGCTAGCCTGAAAAAGTTTATTTACATCACACTAAGCATACGCTTTCAAATCAAAAAAAAATTATTTCTAGGAAAAATAAGACTCGTTGTGTTGGTCAAATACTTAGTCAAATAACTGGATTAGAGAAATACTCAGTGCCTTGCACACCTAGAAAGAAACATAAAAACTAATCTAGAAAATATGAAAGAGGATGAAGGAAATTTCCTTTTTATAAGATCAATTAACAAAAGAGTGGTTCTCTGGGTAATCCGATTTCCATGTTGATTTTTCGTAAGCCTACAGGAGACAGCCACGTCTGGTACTACAGTTCCTCTCACCCCAGAAGGAACAGCAGCCATGCAAGGGCTCAAAGGAAACACATAGTTCAGCATTCTAAGTAGAACTGCAGAGCAGCAACAAGTAAGACACCCAATTAAAATCTTAAATAATATGTGTTTTGGTGGACGTTACCTTTCTGAGAAGATTCCATTCTGAAAAGAAGCAGTGTACATCCTTCTTTTATCCACAGGCATGACATCCACATAACCACCATGATTTCGAATCACCCCAGCATGTACCGCTGCTCTGCAGATACTAGACAGCTGAGCAAGTAAAGACAATAGCCACCATTAGGAAGAAATTCCATTCCAGACTTGCCTAGCCTCTGCCCTATAGCGCAGCCAGTGAGCAGCTGCTGCATAATATTCCACTCATTAAGGGGTATTTGGGAAGTAATGCATCAAACCAGCTCTGAGCAAGTTTGAGTGTAGAGGCTAGACATAGCTGGCATAGCGAAACCTCACTACCACCAATACTGTTCTGTCCCAGCAGAATTTTAAAACCAAAGGAGTACAGAGCAAATTAATTCCTTTTAATTCTTCAAGCACTATTTGACACCGTTCATAATTCTCAGCCTTTACTGGTAGATATTGGGACATATGCTATGGAACAATCACAATAAAGAGGAATTGATGCTCCCTTCCTTCTGATTTTACTTATAAGCAACTCAACCATAGCTCTTCACATGCCTGAGATCCATTTGCCAGAATGCAGGCATACATGAAATGGAAGGTTTCATCAGCAGAAATCTGATGAAAATATAATCTATGCACAGCCATTTTACTATGCCATGCTTATATACTCAGCTACAAAATCTAAGCTAAACAGGAATTCTATGAAGGAGAAGCTTTATTTAATGCTTCTGATCCAAATTTTCAATGTTTAAAACTACCGTCTTCCAAAGCCAAATCCTTTCTTTTGGACCATGGAAGTCTTCCCTCAATTCAAACATTGGCTTCCATCAAAATATTCTATGGAAATGAATCAATAGCTGGACAGGAAGGATTTGACTTGTTTCAATAACCCTCAATCCATTTCACCTCCTGATAGTCTTTCCCCAACCTGCTGCAGGTGTCCATTGGGTTCTTTTCTCAGTTCACAATGCAGATGGTTTCATAAGGGTTTTAATGTTCACACAGGCGTGCATGTCTGGCCTGACCTTGCTTTATCATAGTGCGCTGACCCCTGGGCATCAGTCAGGATTTATTAGCTCCAGGGGCCTGAAGGCTAATCCTTCTTCTGTTTTGCTCTATTATAAAATGCAGTCTGTCAAAGACTGCACGTCGTTCCTCAGAGGAGGAGGCATCTCACATAGCAGGTTTAAATCCAAACTGCACTGGTCACTGGATGCAGGATGCTCATAATAGATGAAATTAAAAGTAATTTTTGGACATTTCAGTATTCCTCTTGTTTTATTAAAATAGTGTAATCAGCATTCTCCCCCTTAAGGCACTGGAAATGCTTCCATATGATGATCATTAATCCTGTAGGTATTTTAGAATACAGTTTTGCTCTTAAGCATGCAGTCAACAGGCATTCTCCCTGAGTTCAGAGGTCAAGTTTCTTCCTACCCATACTTTAGAAGAATATATTATTGAAATTATGCATTTCATTTGTGAATAGAGAGGAATTTTGAACAAAGTCAGAACTAATACAATCTGTAGTAAGCTACAAAAAAATATGCCCATAGTAGCAGGATACATCACATTGAGCTCTATAGGAAGAAAAAGAGCAACACGCAGGGGAGGAGAAAGCAGCCGGAGAGAAGCTAGTGGACTCCTCTCTATCTTTCCATACCAACCTTAATTGGAGAGACTACACATCTTTTGGGAGCAAGAACATTTGGGAGGCTTAGTCTACAGCTCTGCAGTTACTGTGCGATAAGAATCTTCCAGTTCACATATTGTCTACAGCTTTAGATAGGACCTAAAAATTATCTTAGGCTAGAACTTTAACTAGCAAGAGATCCCTAACAAACAGAATAATGGGGAAGGGATTTTGAAAGACTTCATCAGACATGACTAAAATGAGAAGTTACAGAAATTAAAGGGAAAACGTCTAAGGAGTGACTCCTTTTTGTGTTCTATGTCCTGATTCTGCATTGCTTGGCAGACAAAAAATGAGCAACTGAATTGCCCAACTGCTGCCTCCAGAGAACTTCACAATTAATCATCACAAAGGTCACATTGCTTGGTAACACAGGTCAAAGTGAGAAAAGAGTTAAAAGAGTGCTGTTCTCTTAGCTCACTACACACTTCACAAAGCAAGTGGTAACACTTGAGAAATAAAGAACATGACAATGACAGGAAAATTTCAAAAAGATGTATTTCAGGTCTAAGAATTTGAACCCAAATGCATGGATGAGTGATTTCCTGAACCAAACCCTGGGCCAGAGTCTTAGGAAAGACATCAAAGGGGGAGTTGAACTGGACAGGATTTGGACTTAACTGAGTGATAAGAAAAGTAAGAGGAAGTACATAATTCAGGTTTTTGTATGCAACCAAATTTCACTGACTTTATACATCACCAAGAGACTTTCTACATTTGTTTCTGTAACTCCTTTCAAATCTGCAATGCCTTCCAAATATCTACTGCAAAAAATCGTAATTCATCATCATGAAAACACAGAATCTCTATCTCCATGGGCTAGTCATATTCCTTTTTCCTCTCACTTGCTCTGCCTCCCTCCCTCCAATAGGCAGCAGTTTTTATGTGGACAGAGCCCAGCAAAACTGTATTTGTTGCATGTTGCATCTACATTCAGCAACAGTTCTAGCTAGAACGGATAGTCCTAAAACCCTCTAGTAATCAATACTCCAAAAGGCACTTGCAATGAGTGTATTCATTCTGAAGCCATCTCTACTAGAGCTTGTGTTCCAATCATCCTAAATGTGCTGGCAGTTAGCGCCCTTTTGTATGTACATTAACAAATTACCTGTTTGTGACTGCTTATTGTTTGTCAAATGCCTCCTTGGCAATGAACATATTAGTATGTATGTATGTATGTATGTATGTATATCAAAAATTATCAACTATCCAGTTCACATTTCAGACACAGAAGAACCAAAAGAAAGATTAGAGAGAAACAAACTGAATTTTCCTTCCTAAGAATGCCTCCAGGCCCTCTCGTTAAGTTTCTCATATACAGGCAAGACATTCTGTAAAATAGTGAAAATAAATAATTATACAAGCATATTTTATGTAAATATTCATTTATAATTAACTATTCTGAAAATATGTATAGCAGTTCAGAAACAATCCCATAACTCTGTGTAGGGCATATATGCACATACAAATGAGCACAGATATTTAGATCTTTGCAGATATTGGGAGCTGCATAAATCAGCATACTTACATCAGAGTAAACTCTGGATCCGATTACACGAGCGTAGTGTGGATTTGCCTGCATACAGTTGTGAGGACAGTACACTCTGAGAAACAAACACGTAAAGTGAGCTGCTATGTTCTGTACTTCCTATGAACGAAACCTATGTAGAAATGAAGTCAACATTACAGGGCCTTCTTACCTTCATCTCTCCAACAAGAGATCAATGGCATAAGCTAGCACTTGACAAAGTGCCTCCTTTCATGTAAGCCTGGGTTTTGTTGTTGTGTGGGTATTTGTTTGGTTATGCTTACTCACACTTTAGAATTTAATGCAAAAAAAAGTGTAAACAAAGACCTATGGAACTCAGGGTTGGAAGAATTTGGTAAAGATGTGACTTGACAAATCAGTGTGTCTGCCTGTCACTCACTGTATGCTTCATAGCATGTTTCTTCTCTGTGTTCACAACTTAGGTGTCTTGTTCAGGGTCACGGTCTTAGTTTCATGGACATTTAATTTCCAGTTCACATCTCTGGCTGGGATGTCTGTTTCCACTGCGAATGCCTGCTGCTGTCTCAGCACTTCCTCTTACATCTAATACGTACCTCAAACTTATCTGGCACAAAATAAAATTTATCTCCCATCAAGTCCTGCTCTTCTGTGCCCTTCCCATCACAACACAATGTAAATGTATCACTGCAGGAATCTCAGACAAGGCCTTTATTGTACATAGGTTCCTCTTTAGTACCTTACATGCAACTGGACGGTAATTCTTACCACTCGTAGTTACTGAAAGCATACTCAGCAGCTCCCTCGGTGAGCTTAAACCATGGTAAGTGCAGATCAGACAGTGTGTAACTTACGGCAGCAGCTTCCCTTGTGATCTTGCTTGACTTGATTCTCCTCAATCAATTTACATATATGTAAACTAAAGACGGAAGTCCTGACATGCCATTTATCCCTTCCAATTATCCCAAAGGCTTTCTCCCTCACTGAAAATAAATGAACAGCTCCTTAAAATATTTTCTACATTTGGTAAATTTGTATATGGCTCTTCTACTTTATTTCCAAGATCCGATTAAGGGAAATTATTCCTCCAACATACAAAATATGCTATGTGCTCATCCCTCGGGGCCTTCATATTTCTCTTTTCTGCATGGAACGCTCTTTCTCCTGGTAGCCTATTGTCATTGTAATATCTGATTGGCTATGCTAATTTTTAAAAAGCTTTCAAAACCTTGTTTTTAAATTGAAACATCCAGTTTATAATAATTAAATACACTCATAGAATTCAAGAAACTATCAATTCATATTTTTAAAAAACAATGTTACTTCTTAATTGATATTCTATGTGTCCGTGTGTCTGTACGTGTCTCTGGGTGTCTGTACGTGTCTCTGGGTGTCTGTGTATAGTTTTCCCCTCCACATACACAAATCGGCACTTAAAACGGAAACCATTATTTTACACAGTATATGAGACTCAACTTCGTAACTATATGAAAATAGCTTGAGCATGATAACATCCATGTGTTTTCTAATAATATCAGTAATAATAATAATAACAATAACAATAATAACACTTACATTGAATTTACCCTTACCAATTTAGATATATCCTCCTCAGGAAATAGTTTTAGTTGTTACCTCTAAAGTTTGTGTAACACCATATACTGTGTATACTTTGTCAAATATATAAGTCAGAACCATTTAAAGGTAAATAATAAATGATTTTTGGAGGGTGGATTATTATAAGGAACAAAGCTAGAGGTTCTGAAAACTGAAATATATCCCCACTGACTAGAAATGATCTCACTAAATGTAAAAGCTACTGAGAATTCATCTCCCTCCTATGGAAGCTGTCAAACTACCTCCCTTTCCCTCGGCTCATGCTGTGTGTATAAACTGTGCCTTACTCCTAATGGTCTGCACTTGATCCTCTTCCTACTTGAACAAGTTCAAGTAAAGAAAGGTGGGGTGGGACACTTGTTTATGCTGTATTTACTATTATTCCTTATGTTCCTGAGAAGGGGTGATCTAATAGCCAGTCCTTGACTCCCATTTGCTTTATGCTGTGAATAAAATTGCTAATCACTCATTTAGGCTTTCAATAGGTATTGAAAGTTCTAAGTATTCACAGTGAGGCATATAAGGTTTACATCAATATTGAAGAATAGTTATTTATTATGTATTTAATATTTACTTCAAAGTTTACTTCAAATATGGAACCCCTGAGGACATGAAAATACAGTAAATTGTGGGTCTTCACATTCTTTTTGAGGTAATTCCTTTAAGGATATAGGATAGCTATGTCTTATGTTTAAGATCAGTTTTTCACACCACATCTGAAAGTGAGCCTCCTACAGACAGAAAAGGAAGAATTCTTTTCCAATCTAATTGGCTTTATTTTCAGTTACCAGCTGCAAGTCGATTCCTCTAATTTAGGAATCGCATAACAATGTTAAATGTGAATCACACTGATCTCTGTTGGAAGAACTTGTAGAATGAATGTTATCGACAGTCCCACATGCATCTTAACCCACATTACTCTGGAGATAGGCAGGGCCTTTATGAAGGAACTTGGCTAAATGATGTCAAAAGAGAAGAACCCTTATCCAATCGGATTAGTGCCTCTGCAAAAAAGGATAGATGGGAAAGAACTCTTCACATCCTGTAAGAACACATGTAAGAAGAACGACAAGCTAGAGAGTAAGTCACAACAGTGACCAAGTCAGTGGCACCTTGATCTTGGACTTCCAATCTTCAGCAATATGAGAAATAAATACCTGACATTTATTATAATAGTTTATGTGAACTAGTACAAACCCCGTCTGGAGTATATGAACATGTGATCACATGCATAAGTTCTTAGGCCATGGTATGGCCAACACTTAGAGAAGGTACAATAAGGGTTCTGGGGCACATGTAATGTGCAATATCTAGGAAGCAAGTCTAGATCATAAACAATTCTATACCTTAGAACCTGAATTTTATAAAAACAGATATCATAGACCAAAGTGCTACATATTAAGTGACTATGCAGGTACATGTGCACATATACAAATCGCTATATTTATTACAAGGATAAGAAACTGTGCAAAGATTACCTGGGGCAATGCGAAGCAGGCTTATGAAATGGACAAAGTTGTTCCACTGTAGTTTCACACGTCACAGCTTGAACTGAAGTTAAAGCAAAAACAAGTGAATTCCTTTGCAAAACATCCCATACAAGGCAAGACAACAAGTAAGAAAATAATACTAACCTGTTACTTTGGAGACTGTGAAAGAATTAGCAGAATGATATTTGCTGAGGACAAAAAAAAAAAAGTCAATCATTTTGGGCATTAGCAACAATGTAACTCCTATACTGTTAAGGGCTTTAAATCTTTAAAAATGTTTGTTAAAATGTCTGGACAAATACTGTAAGCACACATCATTTTTTTCACAATAAATCTATACACTCATGTCCTTTCTCCACAGAGCCAGTTCAAGCCTTTAAAACAATCAATATAGAACAAAATGGCAAAATGACAACTGTTTTAAATGGGTAGTGGTTATTTATTCAATTATTCACTTTTGTTAAAAGGACTACAGTAAATGAATGAACCTCTTCTTTTTGTAGGAATCATCCAGTAAAAAAGTGTACACAAGATTAGATATACCATGATATATTAAAATTTTTAACTTGTTTATGTATACTAAAATTTTAAAAAATCATTTGTTATTGAGTTATGGTTAATTTGAAAGTGATATTTCAACATGATTTATCCATTAAGTTACTTGCCTAGTATTAAAGATGTAAAACCTTAATATTTTGTTTCTACCAGTTTCATATTCAGTGCTAATATTCCTCATTTCTAATGTGATCCTACAAATTAAGATCTTTCTCTTCACAAAATGAAGAAACTAAAAAATGTATCACATTTCATATTTCATTAGCGTCTCTATAACAGACAATCAAAAATGAAGTTTAAGGTAGAAAGACTGTCCCTTAGCACATCGTTACCTGTATCTGCTTCAATAATGACTATAATTTATTAAGGATTATTTATAAATTTTGCAAAGTGAATAAACTAATAAATTGTACTAAGAAGAGACATTGCCAATGAGTAAAGCCACACAATTTGTACACACAAAACGTCAGGACACCAGTTTGCCAGGAACATTCTAAAGATTATACTTATAATTATAAATTCCATTTTTTGTTGTTTTTTTTCAAGACAGGGTCTCACCATGAGCTCTGACTGTCCTGGCACTCACTGGCTGGCCTTGAATTCACAGAGATGTGCTTACTTCTGCTTCCCAAATGCTGAGATTAAGGAAGTGCACCACTATACAGCAATGATATATTCAGCAATGAATTTCAATTTAATCTATGAAAGTTCATGCAATTGTACACTTACAAGGAAAGAGTATATGCTCTAATCCCTAAGGAAAGTTTCTTCTGTGAGGTTCAGTATTGTCTTTTACATAGAAGAAAAATGACGCTACTCAAAGACATTTCAAAAGAGTACACTGTTCTACTTTGAAGCACACATGAAAATGTTCCCTTTTAGAATGTGACACATCATACTAAATTTACGAAGCACTCAGAAAGTGATCAATACTTTTCCTGTGTTTAAATTACACTTAAATAAACAAACAAAAACGACAAGAGTACATTGCATGGTTAGAAAACTCTTCAAAGTCTTCTCTTACTTCGTAATCATATTTATTATATTAGTCAAATTACCATCGCGTGAAAAAAGACATCATTTCATTGCACAAAATAACATGCAATAAATTAGCCTTCTCTAGGTTATTTTCTGTCATAGCTGAAAAATTTACTTCTTAACTTTAAAAGTTAGCTGTAATTTTAAAACCTTTTTTATTTTATACATGTAAGAGTTTTTCCTACATGTATTTATATTCATCATGTGCATGATTGGTGCTTGCCAATTTCAGGAGAGGGCGTTGGGTCCCCTGAAACTGGAATTACACACAGTTGTGCCCTTCAGAAAGAGTGCTGGGAGCCAAATTCTGATTCCCTGAAAGGGTAGTCAGTGCTTTTAAACACTGAGTCATCTCTTCAGCCCAGAAACTAACTATACATTTGCATATACTTATTGAATCTGTTGAAAATTAAAAAATTTATCATGCCAAAAAGATCCCCATCATATTATGTATGGGAACTATAAGCTAAAATGAACTTGAAAAATTAGTAACTTCCATTCCATAAATTCAATTTCATTTCATTTTTCCCTTGATCTCTTGCCAGTAACTTTCCCCTGTCCCCTCCCCCTCCCCCTCCCCCTCCCCCCTCTCCCTCTCTCCACGTGGCAGGGGCCGGCTCTACTTCTACCTCTACCTCTCTGCTTTCTCTCTCTGCTCTCTCTCTCTCTCTCTCTCTGTCTCCACTACCCTCCTGGCTCCCCTCCCCCCTGCTTATTCAATGCTAAAAAAAAAAAAAAAGAAAAAAGAAAAAGAAAAAAAAAGAAAAATTCGTAACTTCCAATCCATAATTCAATTTCATTTCATCTGAGAGAAAAAATTTGTTTGGGCTCTTACCCAATTGTTTGAATGCCATTTCTGTTGGATTTGATGAAGTAATGCTTTCTCCCTTGTCGAGTGACATCTACCCATCCGCCATCATTGTCTATTATTCCATAGTGGATGGCAGCTCTGCAGATACTGGATTGCTTTCAGAGAAGGAAAAGGCAGAAGATATTAAAGAATTCAAGCTCCATATGAAGAAGCAAATGACTATACAACTTTAACTTAAAAAAACATTTCTGAGAACAAATATCATATGATATACTTGATATAAGTTGCAATTTCACATTAAAAATAGATATTGTATGAAAAGGTTGCACCTTGAAATAATTTTAATTTCTACTTACCATTTCATAGTGTACACTCCCAATGACTTTAGCTTTACTGTCCAAGCAGCCAGCAGGGCACTCGTACCTAAGTGACAGTCGTGGGAAAGAAACTTTAGCTTCTCTGGACACCGGCACAAAATGCACACACTTCTTTTATCTTGTCAACTGACTTTGAACTGACAGTGACACCCACCTGTTGCAGGTGGTCCCTTTACACTGGTCTCGCAATCTTACTTCGCAAGAAACAATTTGAGCTAAAAGAAAAAGAAACAAACAAAACCCAGATAGTTTTAATAATTTCAATGCTTCTAAAATGGGTTTTGCATACTATTAATT